TGTGATCGGACCCCGCATGATTAAGATGATGTACTTTAGAAACGTGAAAATAATTAAGAAAATGTTGATTACCAAAGAAACGATCCAAACTTTGAAACATAGATCCTCTTCTCCAAGTGAAACGAGTACTCATGAAACCAAGATCAAATAAGCCGACTTCAACAATTTTATCATTAAATGGTTGATAAGATTTAGATCACCACCTCTACCTCCTAACCTTTCAGAAGGCTTCATTATCATATTGAAATCCCTTCCAGCAAACCAATTATCATTAATATTTTCCCCCATAACCGACAGTGTCCCAAAGATAATATTTCTGCTGCAGAACAGTACTAGCATAAACAAAGGTTACCCAAGAACAAAAAGAATCCAATTTGAAGTACACCAGTACAAATTGCTCCTCGTTTTGCACAATATTAAACTGGACTTCATGTTTCAAAAAAATCCAAATCTTGTTGTTAGTATTGCAGAAATGATTGTAATCTTTGAACTTCCAGAAGATGCGCTCCTTATTAAGAGAAACAATCGGCTCTATAAGAGCAAAAATAGCCAAATTATGAACCCTGCTTAAATATTTTATATATATACATACATACATACATATATCCATGCTTCTATTGCCTTAGAGTTTCGTCATATAATTTTGTAAACTCGCCTATATTTTAAACATGTTTATCAAGGCCATTCATAAGGGGGTACTTTTGTGGAGGTTTATAGAACTGAAACAAGTAGAAATTGAGTTTGTGAAAATGTTTAAAAGACACAAGGCTAGGATTACTTGAATAATGATTAAGCATACGATACACAATCCTAGTGGGTGTGAGATTAGTAATTATCAACTAAGGGCCCGTTTGGGGCAGCTTATAACATAGCGTTTGTTTCGCGTGTTTTAACTGATTATTTAAAAACCGTGTTTTCTAATTGTGAAAGACGCAACCCGCGGGATGACCCCCACGGACCGCGTTTCATTCGCTTCTATTACTTGCCTGCCCTCGATCGCGTGCCCTGTGCCCTCCTTCGAATCTTTTTTCCTCTTCGCTCACATCCTCCGCGGCGCTCCTCCATCTTTTTCGACAACTTCTAGGTTCTCCTTCGACATTTCTTCAAATTTTTCCTCTTCGGCCGTTCCAAACCAGTGCACTGTTCTTCATCTTCGACATTCCTTCTTCTGCATTCTCGTTCCAGTTGAACAACAACTTTCTTGCTGTAGAACTACAAATCGTTGATCGCACTTTTGTTTTTTATGTAAAATTGCAAATATATATATATATATATTCTTTTTTGCTGTAAAACTGCAAATCACAGATTGCATTTGTTTTGGTCCTGTCGAACAACACTCTAATGTGAGAGTTGCAGAGAGATTTTCTGATAATTGTAAGGCGTTTTATTGCGGCTGGTAGGATTTTATTACTCAAATTGGTTATATGATGCATAGATATTCTACTTCAAAATGTAAATTTATGGCCATACTGCATATTAGATTGAAAATGACCCCTTAATTTTTTATAGAATAATTGCTGCAGTGATTGTCATGGTGAAGAGATTTTTTGGAGCTTTGGTTACCTATTTGATATTTGTTTCTAAGTAACATGCAATGGTTGTTTGTCTGCAAAATGGAATTATTTTATGAACCTAAATGTAAATATATTGGGGAAGAAATGACACTATTGAGATTTTATGATTTGTATTTGTATGAAGAAAAGGAATGCCTTGTTGGTAAATTTTAAAAGGAAAATTTACATTGATCCCACAAATCTAGAAATTTACATAGATACCACAAATCAATCATCAATTTTGAAGTATGGTTTTGCTCTGATTTTGACCTCATTTTGACAGAAATTGCAACTTTGAAGTTTGGTTTTGCTCTGATTTTGATAGGAATTGAGTGGTATGTATACAAGAATTAAGGCATTAGATATAAAAAATCACAAGAATTGAGTGGTATTGCTTGTAAATTTTAAACAGTTTGAAGCATTTTCTTATTGAGCTTTTCTCCTCTATTACTCTATATATGGTTTATTGCTTGTAAATTTTAGCGTGTTTATGGGTTGTTTGGTTCAGTGCTATTAAATATTGTGTGCCTCATTCAATTGTATGTTTTAAGGCAAGATCGGATGTGTTTTTTTTTTTTTTTTTTCATATATTGTTGTTTTTTGTTATACAATTTTTGCGATTATTTGAAGTTAATCAAGTCATGAGAAAACTGCAACGATCTGATGGATTTATCCTTTCGTGATGTTTATTGAATTTAAGTACATGATGATCTCTTATAGCGAGTCATCTCCTCCTGCGTGCTTTCATGTTTTTCAGTTTGTATTGTAGGTTTTGCAATTCTTTTTGTGCTTTTGAATGCATGAATTGCATGAGAAAAAAGTAATAATTTTGGACTGGAATTTATGAATTTTAACTCTCATTGAAATAAAAAACGAGCAATGTTTTTTCAATTAAAACAACCAGCTTGGGTTTTGATCTATGAGGGTGTTACTTGATCCTTGTGAGCACTCATTTATTGTAAAACATGTGATGTAAAGATCCACTATGATTTATGACTTGACATTTATGAAGGATGTACCTTTGTGCATGCTTTTCACTGGTGATATATCTGTAATGGACATAATTGAATATATGGTATCTCATTTTAGTAGTGATCGATCTAGTGGCGGGGTTGTAACAAGGGTTGATCAAGGCATTATGTTTCTAGGGAAGAGAAGCATAAAATCAAGTGTTGTTGAAATGATAATTTTTGTAGCATGAATGACCTCTTAAAATGTATAATTTTTGTAATTTTAATAAAGTTGAAGTTTGTTTTTGTTTCGTTTTTGTAGAGCTGTTGAATGATCTGTGTATATTGATGCCAAAGGATGAATATGGCATGAACTACATGCTCTATTTAAATACTTGAGTAAGCTTATTAGTTCATGTAAGAAGTAAGATAATTTCATACTGTTATGAAACTTGTGTATCTACTGAAAGTAATGGACATATAAGAAATTGAAGAATTTGGAAGATACTGATGATCCAATTAACTGCAGAAATTGCAGTGTATAGTTAAATATAAATGACTGTTATACATAACAAATAGTTTCCACAGGCATATTAGTATGAGAATGTGTATTTTACTTTTGTATTAATATGTGATGTAATCACCTAGATATTAGTATGTGAAGGTGTATTTTACGTTTGTATATATAACTGTGCTTCTTTGATGTGATCAGAAATATTTGAGTTATATAAATGTAACTCAATTATTTTGTATTTTCATGTATTAACATTTGAACTTTAATTTTGTTGAGAAAATTACAAATTCTGCGTGACAAATTGTTCATTTAACTAAAAAAGTCTGTAAATAAGCTGTTTACAAAACACACAAGCCAAACAGCTAAACAGTTTATGCACAACAGGGGCAGAATAGTCATTTATCCAGAATCAGCTGTTTTTCAAACGCACAAACCAAACCGTCAGCCAGCTTATCTGGATCAGCTGCTCATCAGCAGATTATCAGGATAAGCTGTTTATCAGCAGAAGCTGGATAAGCTGCAGTTGCCCCAAACAGACTCTAATATTTCTAGGAGATGAAGTGACACGTAGGCATGATATATTATAATATTTTGGATTCGCTATATTGAAGGATGAGGATAAAACAAGCATATAATTTTTATGATTTAGGTTAGGTGTTTAAATTTAGATGTGCCTTAAGATGATCATGTTATAAACGACAGAATATCATGTAGACTTTAACAATATTTATAAATATGTAATTAGGCATGTTATATTGTATGGATTTTTGTGTGACAGTAAAGATGTCATTTATAGACAAGTTGGCTGTGAAAAAAATAAAAATGTTATAATGGATGTATAAAATTATTAGAAAAAATAGTTTGATTTTTATATTAAAGGGATGGTTAAGTATATCTATCACCTGTAAAATTAGAGTTTAAAAAGTCCATGGTAAAATATCACGTTGTAGTAGGTTTTATTTCTCATGCAGCACTCGTCAAGGATGAAAGGGTTTAATTAAGCACTAGATTTTTAAGAGATAATATGTGTTTTACTCGCTATATTTTTTTTAAAATTATGGAGATTAACAACAAAATTTCGATTCAAGATGAAGTGAATTGAACAAAACAAACAAAGATCTGATCAATTTTGTAATTTAGAAACCCAAATTTTGAAGAGTACCTGTTTGACTTATCCTGACACTGAAAGGGCTCAATATAAGCACTTTAAAAAAATATAAATTATTTCAAAATGGAGTAAATATTATATTTATTTGTTATGCACTTAAAATCATTTTAAGGTTACTTAAGTTCTAGAAGAACATGCATATATTTGAGGAGAACTTTAATTTTAGCCCTTTATGTTGTTTATTTTTTCAACTAGTATCTCATTAACTTCAGATGTTAAATTTTTTATGTATTCCTATACATTTAACGTATCTGCTTAACTATTCAGATTATCTTTTGTTGATTCGCATAAAGTTTGTTTAATTATTTGATTTTTTGTATACTAATGACCATATTTCAAATTCCTTCACCTAACCCACTGAATATTTGTTTCAAGTTCATTGTAATTGTATCAATGGATTGCACCTTTCAACTTATCTTATCAACAAAAAAAATGTGTTTATAAGCTTAGAAGACATCCTTTGATTAGGAGCTTAGGCTCCCCAGTCTAGATAGAGATCATACATTTGAAGCTTTGCATATACACGTGTGTGTTTGAGATTGATCTTACTTGGACAGAATTTGTTCATTGAGAATAATAATAATAATAATAATGCTTGGAGCCCCTAATAATAATGCGGGGCCCCAAAAAAAAAAAAAAAAAAAAAAAAAAGCCATTTTTGTTTGATACTTTGAACTGCTTGCATCTGTACTTCTTTAGGCAGAATTTATTGCATTATTACGAAGCAAGAAGTTTTATTGGAAACCGTATTCATAATTAAAGAGTCTCCCCTTTTCTTTACTAATGGTCTGATGTTTAATGTTTTCTCCATCCAGGAGTCTTTTCGAATGGCAGCTCAAACTCGGCCTTTCTAGGATCTCCACAATCATCAATTGGAACCGCCACTAACAGCAACAACAGCAGCAGCATCATTTCATTTCAGTTTTTCCGCAATGCCTCGAACGGTTGGTCAAGCTGAGATTCCATCAAATATGGTAAGCCCTTTTACAAGTTGAGAAGTAATTTAAGTAGAAAAAGTGTTGCTTATCTAGATGCATGAAAAACCTTCTAATTGCAGCAAATGGGTATTTTTGCAGCTTGTAATTGTTTTGTTATTGCCTTATTATGACAATTCTCGTTGGACTCCTCTGGATGCTTAATACTTGGATGCTAAACGCTTCTTTTCTTTTTCTTCATTCTGATATGAATGCAAGACATGAATCTGAAAGGGAGACATTCTATTAAAAGAATGGGAAGCAGCTTAGCGGCCAGAAGCTTTGGATTCAAACTCCTTCATTAATCTGGAGCCAGACTATATTTGACGGTATGCACGGGTACATGCCTCGATGAGCCTGCACTGTGTGCCTGAACTTGAGCATAATAATGTAGGTATAGGAATTTTTTATGACGGTGATAGCAAGCTGTTCATTTCTCGGTTCTTTTTGCCTCACGTTGGTATTATTGGCCATTTCTGGACGATGTTTATGTTATTATTGTTTTATTTCATTTTCATCTATAATTGATGGGATTACTCGGAAGCTTGCATTAGCATGCACGTTTCAACAAATGGCCAGGTTCAAATTATTCAGGGCTGCGTGAAACTGAGAAAATAAACTAATAGAGGATTAACAGCGGCAACGCCATCACTCTTTGCACATTTACAGGCTAAAAAAAGTAACCTTTTGAATTGAAAATGGAGAAAGATGAGTTGGTGAAGATCCAATTCCTCTCCCTTGTGCAACAAGTACATCAGCAATGTAAGCAAATGAATTTGAATTTATTATTTTTTTGTTGAATAACTTGTTGGATGTTTGGTTATTGTTTATTTGGAGGCTTAGTTTGAACAATTTTAAATGAGAGAACTATAACACTGTAATCATTAAAATTGATGATATTTAAACACATTGAATGAATTTATTGTAATGGATGAGAAAATTTAAATAAATTTATTTTTAATATGTACAACTATTTTCATCATATTTACGGTCATTTTATGGGTTATAGTTATTAAAAGAATTGTCATTTATTTAGCAAAATAAAAATATAATAACTTACCTTTTCCCAAAAAAAATAGCATCTAAGTTGATAATATTCATGAAATATTTTTCATTCAGTGCTTGCACAAAAATAATCTAGGCTTGCAAAAGATTATAAAGCCTTTTTGTAATACTCCTTAAAAAAACATAGACACTTTGGCATTTCTTGTCATGTAATTTGAAGTGAAATGTATGTCACAATATCAAGTTAGATACAATATGAATTTACAAAAATTAATGATTGTTAACAAAATATTGATTTTTTTTTTATTTCAACTAATTTCTAAACCAATCACTTCTACACATAAGAACTTGAAAGGTATGTGTATTTAATGTTGAGTAATATGTTTCTATAACTCCTTAGTAAGCGTTGAAAGTGGATTCTGATGCAATAGTAAAAATAGGTATTGAATGTATTTCATAAACCATTATAGAATGTAAAAATTTTTGATTTGTTAGTTTTCCATAATGTAAAACATGATATTAATTATAAGTCTTTTTTTTTTTTGGTTGAGAATATAATTACCTTCTTTCAAGTAGAAAGTGTTGGGTAATGTGGAGACCCGGTCCACCAAAATTTAATTAGCTTTATAATTAAGAATCTCACATACCGCTCACATACTATTCCATCTACCGATCACCTACCACATCCCATCTAATGCTCACCTACATCCCACCTACCGCTTTCATGGTTTCTATAAATAACCTCTTTTGGCTTAAAGGAAAAGCCAAGTCAAGCAAGGTCAAGCCAAGCAAGACCAAACCAAGTCCTCTTGAAAGCTAAGAGAAAGAGAGAATAAAATAGAGATTTTTGTGTAATTTCTCGAAGAAATAAAATCCCCTGCAACTCTGTGGACGTAGGCAAATTTGCCGAACCACGTAAATCTGTGTGTCGCTCTAGTATTTTTTCTACGCACAATTTTACTCGTTCTATTTTTTGCTTTATTGCCGTCGTTTTTTCACAACAAAAAGCAGGTTCGAACCTTACATTCTCAATGATATCACTAATTAAAAAAATTTCAAATATTTCCCTGCTGGTTTTAAAAGACAATTCTCTTAAAGTGAAATTATTATTTTGCCTAAAATGATTAGCAACTTTCTCATTAAAATTACATGTATTTTCTATAACATTTAAATTTGACCCATGAGCATTTACATAGTCATAATACAACTCCTGTAGTGACTCATGAATAATAGTAACATACGTCAAAGCTGTATTAGGTAGATAAATCTTTGACAATGCAAATTTAATCAATTTCATTTTTGATCTACTGAAGCACAATGTTGACCTTATTATTCAGTCAGTCTTTTTCTTAGTTTATATCCAATCTCATCGAGACATAGGACCTCCCTCATAGTGTCATTAGATGATTGAAATGAGCACAGATTAGCAATCACTTAAACCTCACATGAGCTAAAACTAGAGTTAAAACTAAATTAACCTAAAATTAAAATCCATATAAAAAAAATTAAAATAAACTAAATGAAAAAAAAGTCAAACATAACCACAATTCAACCAAAGTAAATGTGAGCTAAAAACACTTAATTTTATCAATCAAACCCCATTAAAAGCTTTCGCTCAAAATCTATCAAATTTTCTCTCTCATAGGGAGGGGCCTACACTTGTTCTTGAAATATCTTGAAATAGATAGGGCTCACTTCTTGACCAAAACAATCACCCGTCCTCCCATGGGTTAACATTCCATGATTGCAAATTTTTCGATAACAAAACAAGCTAAAAAGGTCTCGAAGCGCTAAACATGCCCGACATAATCATGCCACCCTTTGACGTGACTACACAACACATGGATATGACTATGCCAAAAATGGTGTGGCTATGCTACGACCCCTCTGATGGCATAATCATGCCTCAAGGTGGTGTAAACATGCCACCCCTCTCGATGCGAAGGCGTAATTGTGCCACTAGGTGGTGTGATCACGCCATCGATAGTTCAACTCCTCCCATTCGATTTTTAATTTTCAATGGCTCCGTCCTTCAGCCACCGTGGCCTCTAAACCTTATTTTAACCCCTCACTTGCCTCTAGGAAGAAGGATCCACCACCCCCTTTCTCTCCTTATCTTGCTCTTTGATCCACCATAAAATTACCTATATTTATGCACATTTTATGCTCAAATTTTGAGGATATTATGCTTTAATGAGGGTTATTTTTATATTTTTGGTTGTAGGTGCAAGAAAATGAGTTTAAGAGTAAAAATGAGTAAAAATACATCAAAAAGGAGCAAAATTGGCTAAATTGAAGAAGAGTGTCAAACCAGCTGAACTAGTGTCTAGGCGCTAGATGCAGAAATCTGCTGGCGCCTAGGTGCGACAATTGGGCATCTAGGCACCACAGTTACTTTCTAGAAGATTCATTGAATGAGGTCGAATTTTAAAGAGATATCTGAAGCAACCCTTGATCATTTTTGAAGCTCTATAAATATGGATTAATTTCGAAGGGCTAGGGGGTAGGATTTATAGAGTCTCATAGCGTGTGAGTGTGTTAAGTGTGTCAGAAGTTTTTTTTGAGACTTTGTTATTTCTAGAGTTTGTGAGTCTTGTAAGTGCAGTTGGAGTCAGAGAAGTCAGATAACTTCAAATGAGTGCTTGGGGAAATATTTCAGATAAGTATTTGTATCATTGTCCTTAAGTTGTGTACCATGCATCGGAGTTTTATAAATATGTTTTGTTTTTTTATCTTCATGCTTCGTGAGTAGTTTTCTTTTCTTTCTCCTTGCAACATGAAGTAATTAAGTAAGTGATTTTGATTTTGTTTAGAATTTCTTTTATTTCTAAAAACTTTGATGATATTTTTACCAGTCCTTCATTTACTTTACAAATTGGTCACTTGTATTGTTAAAACCTGTTGAGGAATGATACACCAAAATAATATGCTGTTTTAAGTACATAGTTTATGCTTATTTTTGGTGATATTACACTTTAAAGAAGGGTATTTTAATGTTTTTGTTGCAGGTGCATCATTTTTATGTATTTGGAGCAAAAATGGCAAAAAGGAGGAATTTGGAGCCAAAATAATGAATTTTGGAATTCTGGCGCATGATGCATCATTTGACAGAGGCTTGGCGCATGATGCGCTAGAGATGACTTTTTGCAGATTAAGATGGGTCGAGATGAATTTTGCACAAATTTTCAAAGGGACACTTGTTCTACACACCTATTAGAGTAATTCAATGCATCTAGATACTTTGGAAGATTCTTTTATGAAGGGATATGTCTTTTGGATCAAATGACACATCTTTTGAATTTAAAACAATTTTGGAGGGAATTTTGAATTCCTTTTTAAAAAGTGACAGCCCAAAATAAAAGAGGAAGATTTAAAGGAGTTGAGGGGGGACGAAAAGGACAAGAAAGTGGGGGTGGTGTGGTAGGCAAAAACAGAAGAAGAGAAGATTTTCTTCTAGGTTTGTAAAAGGAGATGGAAGGTGAGAGATTTCTTTTTCATTACACTTCTAAGAGAGAATTGAGTGTGCTTGTAAAGAGAGATAGGCTTGAAGAGAGCTTCTAGGGATTTTCTTGGGATTTTTCATTTTGTTTTTTTTTTTCTTTTTTGTGTCTTTTATTTCTTTTATTTTTTAAACTTGTTGTTGACCTCATTTTTTGTTGAGGTTTAGTTTTTCCTCTTTAGTAGCCTGAGGTCTAGCCATAGGATTTTCCTATTGACTATTCTTAAAAAACTAGACATGGAACCCTCACCATTAGAAATTCCAAACTCTTTTCTACTCAGCTTGAAGTTCCACATGTTGCTCTCAACCTCTAGCACTTAGTAGGTGGGGTCAGTGTGGGGGAAACTCAAGATGAGTCACCCTTAGGATTGCTGGACC